GCTGTGGCAGTTTTAACTTTGGTATCATTCTCGGTCGCCACCACAGTCCGACTGCACAGGCACACAAACGGATGAGTCAAAATAATAATAATAAAAATAAAACACAGAACAGCCAGGTTTGAAACGCCTCTGACAGAAATGATGAGCGCACACACACACACACACACACACACACACACACACACACACACACACACACACACACACACACACCGTCCTGTCTGTCAGACCCTAAAGCACCTCAGTGAAAATGGAGGTTAAAGCCTTTAAACGGTTCACATCCCTCACTCCTGAGTTCAGACACGTCTTTGTTTTAGTTTTCATCTTTAAAGCTTGAAAGTCTATTTGGTTTTTTCATCAAAGCATCAGAGGTATTTGTTTTGAGTCCTGATCCCGAGACGGGACGAAGGGGAATCGGAAAGCTTTCCGGAGAACAGAGGAGAAGTAAATGGAGGAAATTCACTCTGGATTTAAAATCAAGTTAAAGGATATATAAAAAAACGATAGAAATGTGTCAAAACACTGATAAATGTGAGAAATGTGGAGGTTTCTGAAACATGCTTCATGCTGCAGCTAGACAGATAACTGGGACAAAAAAAGAGACAAACTGGGTGTTAAAAAGGCTTTTTAGTTACTTTATAACAATTTCTACTAGAAGACATTAAAAAGGAACGACTGAAACTTTTAATCGGATTAATCATGATGAAGTGACTATCAAGTAATCTAGTAATCAAATAATTTATTGGAGCATGCAGACTCAAAAAAGGCCGCTTGCTGAAAGAACAACACACTGAGAGCAGCAATTAAGCTGAAACTGTAAAAAAACATGTACAATTTATCCGATTAATCGATTAATCGTCAGAATAATTGATAGAATAAGCAGCTCTAAAATAATCATTGGATAAATCCTAGAAAATTTTGATTTAAAACTAAATGTGTAAGTTTTTAGGCACTGACGCAGCAGAGTGCCAAAGAGTGGAAATTAAACTAATATTTAATCTGGTAGAAAACAATATTTATGCTGTAAAATATGTGGATAAAAATAGAGAAAATCTCCAGTTTGAGTCCTTGATCGTTGGAGAGTCATCCGCTGCTCTGATTGGTCCAATTAAATTGGAAAAATTTAAATAATATCTAAAGTTCCCGAGTGGGAGAAGCATGAAACACTTTATGAAGAAGATCTTGGGTTTGAATCTGAATCTGAATTTGGGGTACGACTCTTTAAAATGCATATTTTTTTACATTATTTTCTCACCATTGAAAACTACAAATACAGTAAAATGTATACAGTAGAATACTAGAATACAGTAAAATGTATTCTACTTATAGCAGAATACATTTTGCAGCATATATTGCATTTAAAATGTAAAAGTTGTCAGTTTCTGAATGAACATCTGACTTTTTTGCTCATTTTTCCTGGGGTTGAAATGCAGTTTTACTGCTCCAGCCTAAAATCAGATGTAGTGTGGTTGGATTTTTGCTTCTGGATTATTTTATGCTAAATAAACAGCATTCCTGTGTTTATTTTCTGATTATTTTCCAGTCAGAACAATTAAGCAATTAGAAATCCTTCTTTTGTTTGTTCAGTTTTATGGTTGCAGAAGCATAAAAACATCAGGATGCTGCAAACTTCTACAAATAAAGTTTTGGTCAAGAAAACTGAAGTAAAGCACTAAGAGTCAACAGATAATGAGATAATTTTTGGACCTGTAAAGATTTACTGACCTTTTTAAATAAAAACTTAATGGGGAAAGTGAAGGTCATTGGAAAAATTAAAACATAAGATATGAAAGTTAGTAAAATTAAGGCGTTTTATTAGAATTTAAAGAGGAATTTGTGACTCAAAGCTGAAGTCTGAAGGGAAAACTCAGCAGAACAAATTTTAAGTGTGAGTTTCCTCGTTTACATTTCTCCTCTTCCTCGCTCTCAGTCTCAGTTAAAAACAGTCACTAAAGTTTGTTTTGGTTTGAAACAATCTGAAGAACGCCTCTCTGCAGGTACAAGCCTCACACGAACCCCTGAAAACGAGTACAAAGGTCAAAAAGACTTAAATAGAATCCAATAAATACATAAATAATCAATAAATAAACAAAGTGAGGGACAGAGAGGTTCATAAAATACATTACACTTTTTTTCCCTCAACACCCTCCCGCCCCACCCAGGAAAAGCACACATCTCCCTCATACAATAAATACAAATATCTTTTTTCCAACAAAGAACACATGAGAGAGGAAAAAGTTTTAAAGCTTTTGGTTCAGAAATCGTCGTCTTCGGTTTTCATCGGAGGATAAAAGCTCCAGCCTCGGTAAAAATGAGAATCAGACCAAAGGAAGAAACGGTTACATTCCCACTGAAAGTGGATGTTAAAAATCTGCCTCCCCATCAACATCTTCATCACCATCTTCATCACCTGCTGCCTGCAGTTCTGTGTCGCTGTAAAATAAAACCTGCTGGTTTCAACACTGGACTCGTTTTCTCTGTTCTTGCTAAAATTGTTTGCTAATGTCAGCCTGTTTGACTTACTCAGAGAAGAAATTGTAATATTCTGTCAAATACGGACTTGAATACAAATTCAGCAGGTGGATATTTTATGATTTTTACACCTGTGGATCAAAATTATAACACAAAGCAGCATGTCTTAAGATAAACTATTTAGATCACTTTACATATATTTGTTTCACATTTTTAAGTCAAGGTTATGGTAATAGTGAGGATCTTACATCTTAGAATAGAGATACAAGTAACAATCCTTTTCTCCCAATTTAAAATGATTTTTTACAGCAATTTTTGTGTATTTATGCTTACAAAATATAATAGATTTGCACTTTGGATAGAATTTTGCTTGCAAATTTTGAGCAAGAAAAACATCATATTGTTTTTTTTTTATCCAAGGTGACACTGGATAGATTAAAAGACAGAAATCCTGTTGTGATTTAATTCATAAAGTGGAGACAAATAGCAAATCCAGATTTTTTCCAAACATCCAAATAGATAAATTTCACTTACAAGTAACTTTTCAGCAAGAAATATCTTGTTTTAAGTCAATAATTCCTTAATAATAAAGGAAAAGTACTAGTTTCACTTCTAATATGGGAAAAATATCTTGTTTTGTTGAAAAAAGGAGAAACAAGTCCAGGTTGAAAAACAGAAACTCGGCCATAATTTCGGATCAGTTTGCGCTCAGACATTCGGACACACAGTCACTCAGCTTGTGCATTGGTTTGGTTCTTCTATTTGGTTTGGTTGTATTTAAAAAAAATTAGATTCAGTTTTTCTGGATGAACTGAACAGCATATTCTCCCCCTGCTGCCTTTTATAAATATTGGAAGCTACATTTTCACAGTCGTTTCCAAACATTTCAAGAAAAAGAGCAACAGAAGAGGCGATGGGAAGGTATGAACGAAGCATCGGGGAAACAGACACACAATGGAAAAGCAAAAAAAAAAAGAGAAAAATCAAATATATAAATTCTGAAAGTCAGTTTGTTGAGGTTATTCCTTAATCAGTTCAGGAACGGAGCGAACAAAGCCGGGAGGGGGCCGGATTCAGACTGAGGGAGTGATTCTGTCTGCTGAAACGAAAACAGCGATCACAGTTAAAGACGAACAGACAGATGGGAGTTACTCACCCCTCCATGCTCCCCCCCATTACTCTGTTTGTTTTTGGTTTCACTTCTTACACAGAACGAGAAGAAGAAGAAGAAGAAGAAGAAGAAGTAGGTTTTGGGTAGTTTTTTTTTTTGGTCCGCTGCTTCAAGCGCACTTCCTCCTGCTCCTCTTCTTCGTCCTGCTCCCCCCCTTCGGCTCCTCTGCTCCTCCTCGCTTGTTTTTGGCCCTTTGATCTGATCTTTGGAGACAAAGGAGAGGGGCAGATGGGTTCGAGGGCAGGTTTTTTGTTTTTTTTGTGGGTGGTGTTGGTGGAAGGGGGGACGTCGGTGTTTCACCTCCTCCTTTTGTTCTTTTTTTTGGTCTTTCTTATGCTTGTGTTTGTGTGTGAGGTTTGTCTGGACACTCGTCTCCCGGGCGAATCCAGAGACGAACGCTGCCAGAGGCGATGCTTTGGTATCCAAGAGTGACGGTCTGGAGGATGACATGATGATGGTGGGATGGTGGTGGATAATAAATCAAAGAAGGCAAATAATGTTAAAAAAAAAACAAAAAAACAAGAAATCCCTCGACAATGTGTCCACATCTGCTTGAGTAGAAGGTAAATCCTCTTTGTAGGCTGAGCTTGGGGTGTTTCCTTTGGTTTGACAATATTAAGATGAATGAATTTACCAAAACAAGAAAAAATCAGACATCTAATTTCAGCTTTTTAGGATTGACTAAAATATAGTTTTGCCTTCTTCTTACTGTCAAGACGAGCAGTGTAAATGTACGGCAGGCGGATCACTGTAAAGCTGGACAGTGAGAGGTAGGTAAATATCCTGCAGCTTTAAAAACGTGGGATTATAAATGCCTCAACGGTCGATGATTAGAAATGATAGAAAAATAGATGTTCTGACTGACAATGGAGAAAGAACCGAATCCTGAGTGGAATGGAGGATGTTTGACACAGAATAATAAAAGTTTTTTGAGCTAAAGCTTTTCTCTCCGTTTGTTGGTTGTTGTTTTTTTGTCTTTCTTTTTTGGTTTTCAGTTTTTGGTATTTGGAGATTTTGGTTTACTTCTTTGCAATGTTTGGGTTTCTCTGGGAAAACACAAACATTTCAGTTTTTTTTCTCAGAGCTTCTCAGCTTATCAGACAAGTCTCTCCTCAGTTTCGTTTTTTCTTTTTTGGCGTTTATTTCACGATGCCGAGCGAAAACAAAAAAAGCTCCTCTCCAGCTGTAGGTCATTATTTGGTTTCAAAGTTCCCCTCCTTCGTTCTGCGGTTCTCTCCATCCTTTCCATCCTTCCTACCCTCTTTCCCTCCTTCCCCTCGTCGGTCTGTGTGTATTTTTGGCTTCGGGAGACTTCAGAGGGGAAAAAAGGCCAAAGAGAGACAATCTAGAGATGGATCAGACGGAGAGATGGCTTTGGTTGAAAGGCGATGTTGTAGATTTTGATTTTTAAAGCTCTGCTCCTCCTCTTCCTGATGCTTTGGATGTCGGTCGGCGATCACTCGGCCATGGCTCCTCCCAGCGGCGGCGGTGAAGCTTCGCTGAAGGAGCAGAAAGAGGCGGGGCTTGAACAGGGAGACGCAGACTCCTCTGGGCAGGAAGTGGGGCTCATGAGGTTGCTGGTGCCGCTGGGCGAAGATTGGCAATACGAGGGTCTGGGGCCGCCGCTGACCAGCCCCATGGCCATGGAGGAAGTCGGCGTGGAGCCGGTCACCATCGGCAGGAGGCCGGGGCGGTTCAGGAAGAGAGAGGGGCGCAGGGAGGCGGGGACGGAGTGGCCGCCATGTCCACTCAGAAACATGTGGCCCGGCGCCCCCTCCAGGCTGGAGATGGGAAGCTGCCCGCCGCTGGCTGCCAGCGCTGAAGCCAAGCAAGGACGGCGAAAGGAGGGAATAAAAGAGAAAGTGAATAAAAAGCAGAAGAAATACAGAATAAAATTACAGAGCCTTGACAGAACATGGGGGAACTTTTTTTCGTTTGCATTCCCACACAAAACTTTAACGTGTTCTTGCAATAATGTACTAGTTAGTTCATGCGCCATGTAGCAAAGTCTTTCTGCTACAATATAAGGTTTTTGAACAGTTTTTCCATGTATGTTATTATTTCATTAGTGAGATATCTCATATTTAGTATTTTTTCTTTACTGATTCAAATGCACCAATAACTTATGTGCAAAATGCTCAATGAAAACATGTTTTCATTGGGGATCTTTAATATGTGCAGTTTTAAATAATTTATTGCGAAAGAACACAAAAGGAAAAAAAATCCCACATTCCCGATGGTGCTCCGTATAAAATAATCTCATAAAGCAGAAAATAAACCACAGCAAGAGGGAACGAATATAACCAGGATGATGGAAATGAGGACGATACAGGAAACAGCAGATTAAATAAGTAATTATTACGCAGTAGATTAATGGATTTGAAATGGATCATTTTCCAGACACCAAAAATCATTAACATGTTGCTAAGAAATGACTTGGTGTTTTTTCAAGTACTTGGGCTGTTTTTAGAAATACTTGAGACAAAACTGGAAGGACAAAAATATAAACAAGAAATCTGCGACAAATAATGTGCCAATAAATTAACATAGTAGCTTTGACATAATTTCTAATTGACATCATCTTGTGTTTTGCTAACTTTACATTCTAATACACTATTTAAAAGCAGCTTAGTCTGTATCTGTCCACACAAATTGACCTCTTGCCTCCATGTTCAATTCCTAACAGGAAGTTGTGCTTGTTCTGAAGCAATCTTAGTGGCTGACAGAAGTTTTGCACTACACTGCCCCCTATGGGTTTGGCATGTTTAAAACAACAATCAGGATGAAAACTTTTCTGAAACCGATCCCGTTTGTGCCATATATCGATATTTTTTAAACGATGTGGTGATATTTGTTTGAGTAAATACCTAGATTAAGTCAGAAAAGGATGAAGGAAGGTTGCTGAGGACAAGATGTGCACAACTATAGCGTTTATCTGAAAAATAAACGCTTCAAGGCTTAAAAAGACTTTTCTGCTAAATTACAGATTAACTCTCAGTTGAAGTGGCAGCATCTTTCCGCTTCCAGTGAGTTACTAAACACTTTAATCCATTACAGCGCCGTGAGTGTAAACATTCATATAACGCATGTGTGGCCCCAGAGGGAGCCAAAGCTGCAATCCTCTGCTGTCAACACTTCATTTCAGCCCCGTCTTTTCACCCAGGCTCCTCTTTTATTTCCTGAAACCCTATCAGCGCCGGCGCTGCCAGAGCTGCACTTTCCATAACGGACTGTATCCTTCTCATCAACACAAGGCCCGGAGGACGGCGGCGCTCAAAAGAGAGATGTTCTGTGGCGCTATAGGCAGATGCAGGATTCAAAGCTGGGCTTATTTGTGATGCTTAATTGATTTGGCAGCAGATCATCTCACTCAGAAAGGGGGAAAGCCGGTTATTTAGCCAACAGGGGCGGACATTGTGAAGGGCGGGATTGTGTCTGTTCAACTGTTGACTGTAAGCTGACTTGGCCTCCTAAGCTCCGCCATAAGGAGCCCTTGCCGGTCTGTGATAATAGCGCAGCATTGTATGAGAATGAAATTGAATCTTTCACCATACTGAGCGATTCAAAAACTTTGTGCTGAGGAGGAAGAGGAGGAAGGCTGGTGGTGACTGTCACCGGAGGCTTCACAAGAGAAATTAATTTCAGACAGAGCGGATGAAGGGTGAAATGGGAAGTGGTTTTTGGAAATGGAGACCAGAGGGGACACACACAAACACACACACACACATACAAACACACACACACAGACACACACACAGACACACACACACACACACACACACACACACACACACACACACACACACGCATACACACACACACACACACACACACACACACACACACACACACACACACACAAACACACACACACACACACACAAACACACACACACACACACACACACACA